TCCTGGCAGAGCCTCCTGCACAGCATGGGGCAGTGGGGAATGGCCCCGGCTACCTGGCACCCGCACTGCCACCGTCCCATCGTGTGGGTATGGCCTGAGTTGGCAGGGCGCTGCACAGCTTTGCCCCAGTGCCCCTGATGACAGTTGCTACTGCCGGGGAGTGCAGGGCTTTTTTTTTTTTAGGTGCCAGGAGGCTGGGGCCAGGCAGGGCAGTGTTTGGGATGGCTCAGGGAGTAGGTGAGGGATGGGGCTGGTGGGGGTCCCCCCATGGTCCCCTTCCCCCATCTCCAGCCCCCCCCCCCCACTTACTGACACAGAGCCTGGGTCCAGGCTGGCACACTGCCTGCCCTGCATGGGCAGGCAGCTTGCTTCAGCACCGGGGTGAGGGTCAGCCATAAAGACACTGTCTGGCTACCTGAGCTTCTCTGTGGAGGACCTGAGCCTCCGGTTGCCTCAGGGCATGTTCCTGGACCATGCCCTGGCCTGCTTTTTTTGCCCAGGGTATTTTTTTGACCCCTGGATATCCAGGGGTCTAATTTTGCCCCTGTGGTGTAAATTTGCAGTGCGGGGAACTTTTTTTTTTTTGTTCCCACACATACCTCTTGCAGTGTCTCAAAGGACTTTGAGATGCTGCAAGAGGCACGTGCACACTTGTCTGGACGTGTCCTTAAAGTCTTCAGAGCTGGATCAGTCCAAACCTCAGTGAATTGCTCTCCCAAACAGAATTAATGGCTTCTCCTGTGGGTTGGTTCTTTGTCAGTTAAGTTGCACAAACACAACTTAGAGAAAATTCTTGTAGTCAGAGGTGTCAAAGTAAATATAACACCTTACTCCTATGTGTGTTTAGAATCATATTCTACTTACCAATCAAAGGAAAGGTGTGTTGCTTTTCAGCCCTTCAGAGCCAATATGGCTTAGAGAGGGTGAGCAGGATTCTATTCTGGTTTGTGTATTAGCTGTAGAGTTTGTCCTGAAACTTGGCTTTTTTTCTAAAATTGCACATTTCTTTTCCCCTGTCCTTCCCTCATCTTACTGAAGAGAGAAACCCAGTTCTTTAAAACAGAAGGTCAACATTTATAAAATTCTAAATTTTCATCTGAACAGTTTATCAACCTGAGGATGTTGGCTTTACTGACGTGGACTTTTATGTCCTTTTAGTGAGCTGTAAATTGAGAATCCCATCCTCTAAACATTTTCAGGGGGCAGGATCTTGCCTAAGTCACCTTCTGTTTTGCAAGAATGGATGTGGCAGAGTTGGGAAACATGATAATCTTGTCTATAATTTCCTTTAACTCGGGGTGGGCAAAATACGGCCTGTGGGTCGGATCTGGCCTGTGGCAGGTCTTTGTCTGGCCTGCAGCGGGTCCCTCGGTCCTGCCTGGCCCAGGCACTGTCCAGCCGTGGCACGTCCTGCCACCTCCTGGGCACGCAGCTGGCCTGGGGTGGCTCTGCAGCTGGACTGCCTTTCTAGGCAGTCCCTGTCCCCACCCCAGCTGCTGCTGAGCCTGGGTGGGCGAGCCCAGAGCAGTCACAGAGGCGGGGCTGTACAGTGTGGGTCCCCGCTGGTACCATGGGGCTGGGGCCAGTGGCAGGAGCCAGAAGGAGCTGCTGCTGCCTAGACTGTCTAGAAAGGCAGTCTAGCTGTGGAGCTGCCTCAGCCCCACTGAATGCCCAGGGGGTGGCGGGATGTGCCACGGGTGGCTGGTGTAGAGCAGGCGTGGGGCAGGCCAGTTTGGGGCTATACCCAGGTTCTGGCTGATCCACTCCAGTGGGGGTGAACCCAGAGCAGGCAGGGGTGGGGCTGGGGCTGCACACTGTTGGAAGTGGTGGGGAGGTGCCCCAGGGCTCGCAGTCTCTGGGCTCTTGCGGGGAGCATTTCCTCTAAGTTTTGTGGTGTGTGTGTGCCTGCGTAGGCGCACTCATGCCGCACTGCCAGGCGCACCTGTGCGGCTGCACATGCCACGCAGCTTAGAAGGAATGCTGCTTGCAAGATAGGGGTGGATGCTGACCATCTCGGGGGTGGGTGTGGGGGCTCCCATGTATACCCCACCATACCCACAGACCTTTCCCCGCACACAATTGCACACTCCACAAACTCTGCACCCACCTATGCCCTCCTTCACATCGTCCACAAATGCCACACCCCTCCCCACATGTACCCCTAAACACACACACACCTGTGCCTCTGGGGGGAACCCTATTCACTGCTCCATGCACACACCCACAAACACCCCCAGCCATCCTCCCCTCCACGGCCCCCCACACATCGCCACAAACATCACCCACACCCCCCACAATATACGAGACTAAGACTTCATTTTGAGCTATTATGTAATCACCTCTATATATACACAAATCAGAACAAAAATATTTTTAAAATCAAAATTAAAATTTATTATTGTTATTGTTTGTTTGATTTTTAGTATATAATTTGTTTTTTTTCCAGTTCCAAGATGACAAACCCCCTTTCCAAAAGGAGTACTTCTGGGGGCAAAGGGAGGGATTTCTGGGGGCAAAGGTCAGCGAATAGGGGGAGGGACGTCTGGTCCCAAGATGGTGACCAGGGGGCAGGGCACCTGTCAAGTGGTGGGGCTACCCTTGCAGCCCTCGGCAGCTCACCAAAACATGTCAAGCGGTCCTCCATCTGAAATAATTGCCTGCCCCTGCTCTGATATCACACCAGTGTGGTTCCATTGATTTCAGTAAATTTTAGTCCCAATTTACTCTAGTAAATACAAATTCTTGGGTATGCTCCTAATCCTAGAGGATCCTCTGGGTTGCCCAGCTAAGCATTCCGGTTTGGGAATACTGCTGTAGTGTGTTTGAGAGCTATTGTTTGCCAAGCAATTTTTTTTTTTTTAAGGAGCCCGGTATGTTTTAGAGCAGGGAACTTCATTATTCTGTAGAAATGGCAATTTATTTCTTTTGGGTCTTCTGTTGATGGTAACTAGACTGCTGAGAAGTGACATGTACCATAAGGGCAGGTATATGTAAAACCATGCTATAGACATAGAGCTGAAATTCAAAGCTGTGTATTCCTAATGAATACTACAAAGTTTTTTTTTATGCTACGGTTAGAATTAAGCAGGATGAATATCTTTAGCTGCTGACACAAATATCACATAGCTGTTTATGTAAAGCATACACTCACCTATTTGACTACTTAAGCAGCATGATATGTTTTAAGAAGTTGTCTAATGGGAATCTGAGTGCTTGTAGTTTATATTGTTAATAAAAGAGAATCTTATAAATTTGGATAAAAGAGATTTTTGTTTGTTTGCAGGTACATGCTGGGCCTCTCAGCAGTTCCCGCAATTATACAATTTCTTGGCTTCTTGTTTCTTCCTGAAAGCCCCCGCTGGCTCATTCAGAAAGGCCAGACTCAGAAAGCACGAAGAATTCTCTCTCAGATGCGTGGTAACCAGGCAATTGATGAAGAGTATGACAGTATCAAGAACAACATCGAAGAGGAAGAAAAAGAAGTTGGAGCAGGTAGAGTGGCTATGTATTGTTCTTTTCTCTCTCTCTCTTTCTCAGTAAGGAGAAAAAATAATTGAAAATCCTATGATTGTCTTCTGTAGTAATTTAATGTGTTCTTTTTTCCTTCAGTAATCTTGGCAGTATTAAACATTGACAAATTGATCATTTATGTCTTCATTCTGTACAATTTTAAGCTTCCATTCTGCTGTCTTCACTTGGAAAGTGAGACAAATTTTAAATTGGATTCTAAATTCTGTCCCTTTTATTTTTGGATTTTAATATAATCAGGTAAAAATTTGTATCTAAACAAGAAATAAGGAAGGCATTATAGGTCATTAATATCTCTTTAAAACAGAATTGAGATGTAGATTTTTGCTCAAACATATTGCAGATATCAGGGTTTGGCAGTCTATGGTCCATGGGCCAGATATGGCCTATGAGAGATCACATCAAGCCTGTTCCGGGGGGGCACTTTCTCCCCCCACTTTGCTATGCATTTGTCAACTACGTGCTGCTGATCCCCAGTACAGCATCCAGCAGCAGCCATGTCAGCCCTCTCCGTTCTGTGCCAAGGGCTGTTCTGTACTGCAGTCCGCTCCTGCAGCTTGTGCTAACCCATGCCACTGGATTTGGGGCTACCGATTTGCCATTGGTGTTGGAATTCATTGGCAACTGGTAGCAGTGGTAAGCAGAGGCTGCAGTAGGGCGGCATCAGAGCAGCCCTCAGCAAAGAGCAGGGAAGGGCTGCGGTAATGTAGAGGGGATTGGATGCCTGGCGCAGCAGCTGGGTCACAAGTGATGGCCTCCCATTGTTAAAGGTTGCCAGCTGCTGGCCAGTAGGGTTAAATAAACCAGTAATAGGTGAATGTTAATAGGCTAAATAAAACATAAGTAAAGAAGGGTGTAAATGGGATGAAGGAAACCAAGCAGAGTAGAGAGAGAAACTGGAGAAGGCTGAAGGATGAGTCCCTCAGTTGTCTGATGGTATCTAGAGGCTGTGTCCTGGCTAAACAGTCTTAAATAGAGATAACACCTTAACAAACAGTCTCTTGAGGTCCTTTCATTGTACCTTAAGGTGTGATATGTTTGATTCAGATCCTTCACAAGTCTTTTATGTCTTTAGCCCTTGGTCCTGCAAATACTTCTGTGTATCTTTGACCTTACGTGCGAGAGTAGCCCCCTTGACTACTTCAGGGTTTTTTTCTGTCTTCTTTTGTACAAAAACTATAATAGTTAAGTAGGAAAGCAAGAAATACAAAACCACCCTTGAAACTCAATGGGTACATCTACACGTGCAATTAATGCAATAGGATAAACTCTGGAGCAGTTTGTAGTGGAGTACACTGCTCCCAGGCACAGCGTCTATTCGTACACCCAGGGCAGCAACACTTTGAGCTGGGGTGGAACAACCCTTGGGCTGGCAGTAGGTTTCAGGGTTCAGCTCTGGCCTCCGGGTGGCGGCGTCTGGTGGCGTTGGGGCTGGCTGGGGTACAAGAGTGCTGAAACTGGAGCTATGGCTGACACACCAAGCCTGTTTCCCCAACAATACTATCTTATGGAGTAGCTAATTAATTTACTGCACTCTAATACCAGCACTTGTGTAGATGATGACGCTTTACTGTGGAGCTAATTAGCTGACTTCTCAGTAAAGTGCTCATGTAGATGCAGCGGGTGTTTCTAAAAAATCGTTAGAAGGACTGTTCTGATCAATGAGAGCTGATGGGAATGGTTGCATATCTTTACATTTTCACTCTCATGCAAGATAATCAAATTCCTTCTGTCAAAGCCAATTGACCAGTTTGAAAATACGCTGGTGACACCTTCATTTTGAGGACGATTTCCAAAATGTCTAAATTAAGGCTGGGCTGGATTTAAATATTTAGGAAGTTTTGGAAAATTTCTGGTTCCTCACTGAGGTAAACCTGATGCCTTTTGAAGAAATATAACTTGGAAAAAAAAAACCCAAAGGGAAGAGACACATCCCCCCAATGCCTCAACGTAGCCTGGATTGCAGAGGCCTTGTATTTGAGTCTTTCATCCACATCAGGCACTCAAATATAGGTACCCCATACCCATAGCTTCTGTGACGGTACACTATTTTGTAAAGTCAATTCAGTCAGAAACTTGGTGTTAGCTTGTACCAAAAAGGCTTTCAAATTAATTGGGTCAGGAATTCTTTTCTACTAACACCCTGAGTATTAGTACCTCAAGAGAATGCCTTTTATCCCTAACAGATGTTGCTTTGTCTCTCAGTGTAGGGTTTTATTCCTGTTGGATGTTGGCTATGAGTATTGGCATGACTACTGGTATGGACATCTGCTGAAATTTGGGTTTAATTGATCAGGAATCCAGGGCTTTGCTGAGATGTCTGATCTTGGGGATCAGAAAACTACATAAAACCCACTTGGTTACAGCTGACTCAAGCTGTTAGGTAAATCTCTTATCTGTAACTAAGGTGTAAGATGAGTTGGAGTCTCTGAATTAGAGGTAACAAGGGACTTATACAGAAAGTTCCTGCAGGAAAACCTAAGAATAGGCAAGTTACACTAGGCAGCTGAACCTGAAATTCCTGTTGATCACATGTAACAAATGCCAAGAAGGGTTTGAGTATTGATATAGTCTTGTTTTTTATGCTTTGTGGGGAGTGAGGTAGGAGCATGTCCTATATAAGTGAACTGTTTTTTCCTTTTTAGTATTGCAAGAAATTGGGTTCAGTAGCACCTTGTTTCCTCTCAAGAACAGGATCCTTTTCCATCTGGTCACCCATCTTCCTAACAGGACTTTGGTTTGCTTTGACTGGAAGTCAAAGAACACGGTTTGGATAACCCACAATTCTAGGCAAATAAGATATGAAGGCATCTAGTGTTCTCAAAATGCCTAAGGAGCATTGAGCCTGTGTAGCATGAGCATGAGTCTGTGAAGCTAAAAAATGACTTCTATGACTGTTCAGCCATGGATACTGAAGATGTCATCTAGGCACCACATTTTAAAATGGTAAGCAGTAGATAAGCTATCTCTTTCCATCTGTTAACAAAGCCTTAAATGGCTCCTTGAATTTGTCTGTTATATCCCCAATCTTACCTGATGAAAGTGTAGTGAGTGTAATGTGAACAAATATTCCATCCTCAGGGATGCTAAGTGTCACAACCCAAGGGTGTGATTTTTGTTTTGTGTGCGCTTTGGCACCACTGAATTATTTTCCCACCGTTTGAAGCTTTCTTTGCAGGGTGTATTTCTTCTTTGCAGCATAGAAATGCACGTTGCAAGGAGTTCCCGCCATTTGTATTAAAATTCGAGCCCCATTATTGGCT